ATTTCAACATACAACCTGTGCTGGCTAGTGAGCTTCTCAACTCATTCGAAAAAGATGAATTATTCTTTTATGCACGATAGTTTTGAATTGAATTGAGGCTTTCTTTGTGATGGAGTTGGCCAATACCTTGAATTTCTATAGAGTTGTTTCTACCCAAGTTAGGGCCAGCTGGTTCATGTGCATTGTCACTTTGATTTCCTATACTAGGAAGGAAAAGATACCCAAGAACCTTTCCTTTTTCCAACATTTCTTCGCGATTAAGGCCTTTAAAAGTTGGTGCTTTAGCTTTTATCCACCCGTTATATGAAATCATTTCATGTCATTGTAAATTTCTCTTGTATGCACGTACAACATTTACGCCATTCTAGATTATGTCGAGGTACTGAGGATTTTGGGATTGTCGAAACCAAAGAGAAAGTCAAAGAGGCGAGTGGTGTTACTAGCTTAGTTCAAAGTGATGTTCATGTTGAACAAACATGAGGTTGACTCTGATTTCCTTGGTCTCAATTAGTGTTGTAATGCCGAGTATTTTAGCTATGATTTTGTTTGATCCTTCCACTTTGATGGCCTACATAGACAACTGACTTGGCAAACAGTCCTCTAAATTGTTTATCATGGCAAGTTACTCAGGCTGCATAGGGGTGATTGTTGGATATATTGATAATTGCTTCTTGTAATGCTACTGTGAGGGGTATGACGACTGTTCTTTGCGAACACCGAGTAGATTGGCAATCCTAAGTGGTTGCTCAAATGAACGAGCCCTCTAAACACAATAAGGATAATATAATGTGGCCTTCTTTTCGTAGATTTGTATTAGCTCTTGTTTTTGCCATAATGAGCTTAGGGTGATCCCCATCACTAATGGGGCCCTACTAATTGGGAGAGGGAGGTGGTACTCCAGAGTGAATCGAGGTAGATGATTCAATTATTTCATTATTTTCTTCACTATTGACATGGCTTTTGAATAGTTCAAGCAACTTGGCCAATATTTTTTATTGTTGAAAGGTCCCTCCGGTAAGCCTAGGATGAAGGTAGCTTTGGGTGATTAGTGGTTCCAAGCTTTTGAATTTTAGTATCTCATTTTGAAACCTTTAAAAAATTGAGGGACTTGCTAGTATTTCACTAGTATCCTACCTTATCTTTTAAGAAAATTTTAGTGGCCTTGAAGCAATTGTGAATTTATATACATTATTTTTGGCACGGTGGAGGTAGGAGAACTAGAAGTGTGGTGATTACAGGTTCCAAGCTTTTGAATTTTAGTATCTCATTTGGAACCTAAAAAAAATTGAGGGATTCACTAGTATCTAACTAGTATCCTACCTTATCTTTTAAGAAAATTTTAGTGGCCTTTAAGTGCTATGAATTTATATACATTTTTTAAGAAAATTTTAGTGGTCTTTAATCGCTATGAATTTATATACATTATTTTAGGCACGGTGGAGGTAGGAGAACTGGAAGTGTGACAATTCTTGAAGGTAGCTAAAAATAGCTGTGCCACTTCAAGGCTTTATTAATTTTAAGAAGTATGATTGACTTTTGAAATAGGCTATGTGGTCAGATGAAACTGCCATTCCTCTATATGATTTGTGGTGGGGCATGTAGTCAGATGAATATGTCATTCATCTATATGATTTGCGGTGGGACATCTAAACTTTCTCGGGGCTTTATTTTCATGACCCTACTATAGAACACATTTGTCTATCGTGACCTCAACCCTTCAACTCACCTAGTTGAGGGGAGGTAATCTCCTTCATCGATGGGGTAATAGGTCTCATCTATAGCAAGTGATACAACCAATATTCTAGTACTTGAAAGTTGTTATATAATAGAGATGGAAGATTCTTTTGGTATTTTGGGAGGCTGGCAGCTGGGAGAAATGGTGGAGAAGGCTTTGGGGAAGGAGATGAGGTGGCAGGTGGTGTAATGCTGTGAAAGCGGGGTGGTAGAAAAGGTGGATGATGTTTAGAAGGGTTGTTGCGGGCTAGAATGAAGATAGCAATTGGAACAGTGGATGACTAGTAGCCTGGCGACAACTGGAGTGGGAGGTGGGAGGGGGAGAGGTCGAGTTAATCGCCATCTTGGAGGAAGAAACAGCCGAACACCACCACCTTCTCGGATAGGGGGGTGAGCCGGCTCAAGGTCGGCTCGATTAGTGACTCGTGAACTGAGTTCGATGAGCTAACAAGCTAAGCTCAAGCCAGTTCGACTCAACTCTTTAGCTCGTGAGCCTGCTCGTTTAAAAAAAAATATTGATATAAAATATAGTCAGAATATATAAAATCTCAAGATTTTATCTAAGGTATTAAAAATATTTACAAAATAATATTTTGTATTGTATAGTAAGTGATTTGTTATTATTTATCTCTTAATTGTTCATTCTAATTGGCTTCTTATTATAAATCTAGCTTAAATTAATATCATTTTTTTTCTCCTTTATAATTAACAAGCCAGCTCGCGAGCTCGAACTTAATAAAATTAATCAAGCTCCAGTCGAGGGTGGTCGAGCTTGAATTGACTCATTTACACCTTGATCCTTGGAAACAATCGTAGAAAAGGTAAAACAACTCCACATTGGAATTTGAAACAAAAGCGCAAAAACATGTAACTCAGAACAAGAAGGAAACAACACGCATATATATTGACTAATAGATAAAATAGGAAGGGAAAGACACTCCACTTGGGTGGCAACCAGGAAAGGCAAGGGGAGATTTTGGCGGCAGTGGAGAATATCTGGAGCAAGATCGGGATAGGCTTCTCTCGCCTTTAATGTGATAGGCTGGTCTAGTTGGCCTTTGCCTGGGCCGGTTCAGCCAGCACCCACGTCAATGATTTGGGGAGGGGCATCATAAAATGCCTTGGGGTATTTATTTTTATAACTTCCCTATGAATCACATTTGTCCTTCATAACCTCAACTTTTCAACTCACCTAGTTATGGGGATGTAATATCATTCATTGTTGGGATAATAGGTCTCGCATATAGAAGGTATGGTTGTCAACACTTAGAATACTTGAAAGGTATCTTCATTTTGGAACTTCTAAAAAAATTGAGAGAGTCTCTAGGATTACACCTTATATTCTACAAAATATTGAGAGTGGCTTCTAGAACATCTTTTAATACTCGGAAGAGGTAGGAGAACTGGTAGAGGCAATTCTTTGAAGGTAGTTAAAAATAGGGGTGTCACTTCAAGGTTTTATTAATGTTAAGTAGGAATTTGGTTGACTTGAAATAGGCTAGGTGGTTGGATGAATTTGTATTTCCTCTATATGATTTGAGATGGGGCATCATAAACTACCTTGGTGGCTTCATTTTTGTGACCTCCCTATAAATCACGTTTGTCTGTCATGACCTCAACCTTTCAACTCACCTAGTTATGGGGATGTAATGTCCTTCATTCTTCGGATAATAGGTCTCACCTATAGAAGGTGTGGCAATCAACACTTAAAAAGTACCTGAAAGTTATTGTCATATAATGGAGATGGAAGATCCTTTCGGTATTTCTGCTCTCAAATTTTTAGAAGGTAGATTTGATTGCAAATAAGCCATTGCCTTGAGATTTCACTCTCATTTTGCTAGAAGTTTAAGATCTAAGGTTTGAGGTTTCCTATAAGTGCAAAGTTCCATGTTTAATTATCCCTATTGATATGGGAGATCATTTTTAATTAAGGCTAGTCGTTACGTAGTGAATATTTAGTGTATAGTTGCAACAACTAGAGTTTACATTTAAAGATTAATACAATTTTTCATCTTGAGTTTTAGAGTGGATGGCAAGGGGAATTATGATGAACCCAATCAAGATTTCATGATTGTGTCTCTGGTCATCGTTGTCATGGTCTTTTTACATAGAGAAGGTAATCTATCTAACTTTATGGAAGGATCATTGCTGTGCCCCTAAACTCTGTCTTTGGCCTTCTTTTTAAGTATTTTTTTTAAATTTTAGATGCATTGATTTGATTCTTTTTGTGAACGGTAATGGTTGATTGGCTTTGGCAGTTATCAGAGCAATTTAGACACAATTTGTGTATAACTGCATTTGTCGACCTTCATCCTTTGCACGTCTACTCGATTCGACTAATGAAACAACAATGCAGGTCAGCAAAGATCCGCTAGGCTGAAGTGATAGAGAGGAGAAAAATAGAGAGAATTTATAGAGAGCAGCATTGTGTGTTCTATTTTCCATAACTCAAAAGCCCATTATACTATAGACATCTTCTTTAATTGCTTCCTTTATTTTTAAGTTTTTGGATGGATAGGAAAATTTATAAATAAAGTTAAGTGATTGGATTATTACAGGCATTTGGACATAGTACTCTGAACCTTGGAGATTACATGTGGGTGGCTGCCTGTGCAAGTGCTTCAGAGGCTTTTGCTGTCAAAATGGTGGTTTGCTTAGGGAATGGGTAAAGGTCACCTGATCGAAAGAGTGGTGAGACACCAGGGGCTTCCTCTGTAATTTTATCTATAACTTTCTCTGGTCTGAGAACCTTAGACTGTCATGTTTGAGCTTTGGGCGAGTGATGTTGGACTCCTAGGCGAGATCTCCCCTAATTTTGTCATATTCGTTGCAACCATCTTGGAAAGCACACTTTCGATGCACATCTATATAGATGCTCATAACTTTGGTTTTTTCTACCCATCCAATTCCAAAGTTATTTTTTACATGGTTTATGATGGTATTAGTGTTCAAGGTATTGGTATATGAATTGCTAAATTAGCAGCTGGTAGCTCTGAGTTTGTGATAAATCAAAAATAAAATATCACTGGGAGTTTTGAAATGTTCAAGAAGTTGTTTTTATCATTTCCAGCTCTTGTTCTATTGTCAACCTGTGGAGAGTCTCTTAAGCTAGAATTAAACCGGGACCGGTACAAAAAAAGAGAAACTTACCTATCTAAGTTTTGATTTTTTACAGTTTAATACTTATATGCGATGCATGTGTAAATCAGGAGAAGTTTTATTGAATTTTTCTGGCTGTAATAGAATCTAAATAAGTGTTAAACTAGGTTCTAATGACTATGGTCAGCTTGGAGATGGAACCGAAGAAAGCGCAAAGCACCCCAGAAAAGTAGAGTTATTGCAAACTGAATTTGTGAAATATGTATCATGCGGAGCGCATTGCACAGCTGCCATCGCAGAACCGCGAGAAAATGATGGAAAAATGTCTACTGGCAGGCTTTGGGTCTGGGGACAAAATCAGGTCTTCCGCTCTTCTTTTTTTAATGCAGGTTTTTCTGTCATCTAACAATTTTACCTTCTTCTTTTCAGGGTTCCAATTATCCACGCTTATTTTGGGGGGCATTTACTCCTAATACAGTGAGAAGCATACTTTTTTTTTTCATTTTACATTAATTATAATGTGTAGTAATTTTGTATTTTGCCTTAAAGTAAAGGACGTCAGATTCATAAGCTCTTCACGGTTTTGTTTCACCATTTACATCATTTTGATGCAAATACTGTTAAGAGGGGCCACAATCTAACAATTTAAAAACGACTCACAATTTTTTAATTATGATTCAATAATTTGAATAGTTATTATGAGTAAAAAAAAGAATAGATACATACATATATGATAAATATAAATAATACATAAACAAGTTTATTTTGACAAACCCCCTCCGGATCCCTTCTAAATCCACCAATGTGAAAATGCAATGTCTAGAATTTAGAAGACATTTTCTGTCATCAAAACTCAAGTCAAACTTTCTATATGGCGTTGACAATCTTTAAATTTTATGGTGCAATGAGGTTTATACCGATTGGATAGCTACAGGTAATTTAGTGTAGTAGTTCAACATGTCTACTATGTGGTCTTGTTTATAAATTTGGGTTGACATGAAGTGATTTCAAACTTTCTATCTTGTCTCACAAGCAAGGTTTGTCGCGAGTCATTCAGAAAAGGCTTGATGAACCGTACTTCTGTGGTTAGACTTTTGTTATGAAAATTTTGAAATTTGCAGTGTCATTAAATGCATGGCCTGCTCTATGTAAATTTAATGCGCTTCCAAAATTTATATGGTCATTCTCAGGTTATACTAATGTACATTGGTAAAATCTATTGCATTTTTTATAATACAAACTATTCATATAGTTTGTTCTTACTATGTTACACTCCAATTTATTTCTCTGAAGTTTCTTTTTATGCTTTGGTTCTTACTATGTCACACTCCAATTTATTTCTCTGAAGTTTCTTTTTATGTAGTAATGTTGAATGTTTTGTGTCGTTCTCTTTATTATCCATTGTTGTCAGGTTATACATCAAGTCTCTTGTGGTGCAACTCATGCGGTCGCCTTATCTGATGAGGGTTTATTGCAAGCGTGGGGTAAATTTTCTTTTGTGCAGTCCATGCATTTTTCTGTGACCATCTAGAGTAGAGAAGCTCTATGCATGCAGAAAAGTTGCACCCTACCATTATGTTTTTGGGGGCATTTATGTACATACCACCCAATTCCTATGTATTTATCTAACACCTAAGCTTTGCTTTTTTCATTTATAGCACCTAAATCTTTCATATTACATCAAAAAATACTGCCAGTTTAACTTAAAAAAAGTGAAATACACCTTTTCAAGCATAGAGGGGGTGTATGAAAAAATTGAAGGGGCTATGTAAGTAAAATTGGAATTGAGTTGTATTTAATTATGTAAATCTTCCTTTTTTTCCAGTTTTGTTTGAAGTTTTGACATCTATTATTTGAGATCATGCTTGAGATTTTGAGATTTTTTTAGTTGTTAATCTCATCAGTTAATTAGATTTGGTGCTTATGGTTTTCTCTCCATACCAGGTTATAATGAGTATGGCCAGCTAGGAAGAGGTTTTACTTGTGAGGGGCTACAGCGATGTCGTGTTTTGAACGCTTATGGAAGGTTTCTAGACGAAGCTCCTGAACTTGTGAAACTCACACAAGTGTCATGTGGGGAGTACCATACCGCAGCTATATCGGAAAATGGTGAGCTGTAAGTCACCTTGCTGCACTCATGCATTTACGCCTCAAAGACTAACGGGTTTCTTGCATGAAATTGTCAGGAATTTAGTAAACTATAAATGCTTTTCTCTTGGGAATGGTAGCAGAAGTTTAGCTGCTGTTTTGAATCACTTTTTTTTTATTTTTATATTATATTTTAAACATATGTTTGTTTAATACATTTTTTGCATATTTTTATTTTTCTGTTCTAAAATACTAATTAGTTTTTTTTTTTAACTTCAGGACATATAAATGTTGTGTTTTTAAAAAACAACTAAACATATTATAACATATCAAATATATTTTTATTTCAAATAAAAATAAAAATAAAATGATCTCAAATCGTCCCTTAGCTTTTGAATAATTAAGCTAGACTAGTAGTTCGGTGTTCTTTATGATGCCTATTCAATGCCTTGGCACTGTTGTCCTTGTTAAAATGATTGGCACTATTATTTCGTAATGTCTGCATACTTCTTGTGCTGTGGTTTGTTATTGTCCAAAGTATCTTTTTATCTCTTTTAAGCAACATTGCTGTGCCACTTTGAAATGTTCTCATAGTGCCAACCAAAATTGATATTATTTTTGGTGCACAATTTTTAATGCTATACCGATAATATTGTTGCGCTCTTTGTTCTATGTATGGAGGGGTCTACATTGGAGTCTAAATGCCTTCATTTGAGTAGAACTAAAAC